AGCACAATTTTGTTACCTGTGAAAAAGCCCTTTTTGTTAAAAATATAATTTTAGTAAAATGATGGCCTGCCACGTGACACCCTTGGACAAAAAACAGTGTGCCATCCAGATAAAGCCGGCTCTCTGATCCAGAATGCCAAAACCATGTTCTCCTTTTGTGCCACCCTGACTGGACATCCAGAGGTAAGGAGGTTTCCCAGTATCGCCAGTTGTTCTCTTTGTAACTCAGTCGGCCCCACATGTTAGACAAAAATTACAAAGGTTTGAGAGGTTTAAGAAAATGCCCCTCAGCCAGTTAATAGAGATAGCACAAAAAGGTCTTTGAGAACTAAAAAATTTACAAAAAGATAGCCAAGGTGTTAAAATTGCTCTATGAGAAAAAAACTTTAAAAAAACAGACGAGAGTTTCTGGGGGCAATTGGATACTGTAGGCTAAATTTTACTAAAAAGCTTGCCTCTATATGACTCCCATAAGGGAGAAACTCAAAATTCGCTAAACTGGACTGATAAATGTGAACAGGCCTTCCAGCAGCTCAAGCGGACCTTGACAGAGGCCCCAGCCCTGGGACTCCCTGACGTTACCAAGCCTTTCATCTTGTTCATAGATAAACTCAGGGACATTGCCAAAGGAGTCCTAACTCAGGACATTGGCCCTTGAAAGAGGCCTATAGCCTACCTCTCCAAAAGACTTGATCCAGTAACAGGAGGATGGCCCCCTGCCTAAAAATACTAGCTACTGTGACAATGCTACTTAAGGAGACAAAGAAACTCGCTTTGGGCAAGTGATTTCTGTGGTAACCTCTCACAGTTTAGACACTCTTTTCAAAACCCCTCCTAAAAAAGGCTCTCAAATGCCAGAATTCTACTGTCAAGCCCTGCTTCTAGACCCAGAGTCAATGATATTCAAAACTTCTTCAGCTTTAAACCCAGCCACCCTTATGCCTGATGATGACCCGGAGAAACAAAGGACACCTCTCTCCATGAGTGTGCTGACATCCTCGAACTGCAGCAGAACCTACAGGCTGATCTTACTGACCAGCTTTTGAGAAATGCCGACAACAGTTCGATGGAAGCAGCTTCATCCAAAACGGCAAACGAGTGGCCGGGGCAGCAGTGACCACCAAAAAGGAGGTACTCTGGGTTAAGCGGGTAGAGCCTGGCACTTCTGCCCAAAAGGCAGAGCTTGTTGCTTTGACTGAGAGGCTAAAACTAGCCACGGAAAAGAGGGTAAACATTTTTTTACTAAAGATATCCCTTTGCTACTGTACATATATGTAAAAGCCATCTAAAAATGCTCCACAGATTCTAGATTTGCTGGCAGCTGTCTGGCTGCCTCAATGGGTTGCTATTCCTTACAAGGCTCACCCAACCGGAGATGACACTGTCACCTTAGGAAACAGTTTGGCAGATCAAGCCACTTAAAAAATAGCAACCACATCAGAGGGGTCAACCAAGAAAGTAACTGCTCTGATACTAGTCCTCTGACCTTGTCAGAACCAGTCTACACAAAGAAAGACCTACAGTTGACATCTCAACTTAAAATAAAGTCTCCCACCCCAAGGGGCTAATACCAGTTACCTGATATACAAGTACGGTTACTGGAGACACTAGGGCAGGAGCTGTTATACTGGGCTCGCCAGACTACTCGTTTAGAAAAAAACTAAACTTGTGGATTTGTCCAGAACTCAGTATTTTATTCCAAAACTCTACAAACTGACCACCTCTTCGAGCTCTAGATGCCCACAGTGCTTGTTAGTCAACTCACCAAGAGCTCTGTGCTGGAGACCACCCGACATCAAAAAATTGTTCCAGGAAAACATTAAAAAATAGACTTTATAGACATGGTAAAACTTAATTTACAGGGACACCGCTATCTCTTGGTATTAATAAACACTTTTACTGGCTGGGTAGAGGCTTTCCCTACTAAGTCTGAGTCAGCCTTAGTGGTAATTAAAAGGCTATTGCATAAGATCATACCTTGATTTGGCCTCCCACTATCAATGGGGTCCGATAATGGCCTGGCTTTCACAGCCCGAGTCACCCAAAAGTTAGCCCAGGCATTAAAGATTAATTAAAACTCCACTGTGCCTATCAGCCACAAAGCTCAGGGCAAGTAAAACGTATAAACCAAAGTCTCAAGGACATTTTAGCTAAGCTGTTTTCAAAAACTGGCGATAATTGGATGAGCCTTCTTCCCTTTACACTGTTAAGAGCTAGATATACCCCATATGTTTCTAAAAATTTCCCCCTTTAAAGCCATGTTTGGGAGGCCCCCGCCATTGGTTCCAAGATTGTCAAAAAACAAATTAGCTAAAACTACTAATCAAGATCTTAAGTCCCTACAGACACTCCAACCTGTGTTGGCCTGGATCCACCAGCTGTTTAGACAAAAACACCTGGACCCGCCTTCAGAGACGCCTCTCAAGGCCCCAAGGACTCCAGTCTTGGTTCGATGTCACCACCGTGACTCCCTTAAACTCTGCTGAAAAGGACTTTTCACCGTGGTGCTCAGTACCCCCACTGCCATCAAGGTAGCAGAAAAAACTGCGCAGATTCACTATACTCATGTAAAGCCACTGGAAACAGCAGACAACGAGGGACATACTCAGTGGACTACACAACAGACTGGTAACCCTTAAAGTTAAAAATTGACTAAAACATAGTTAGATTATGCTGGTCATAAACTGTTTTAGCTTGCTTGTTTTGATTTTAATAACATTGATGCCGACCTTGCACGGCGGCTTTGGTCCCCCTATAAACAAAAAAAACAAATGTTAAAGATCTTTGTATGGGAGCCCCCTTTAAAAAATGTAAAACGGAATTCTCCCCTATCTCCTTCCCTTGATAGGACCATTAGTGACCTTAATCCTCATCCTAGCCATTGCCCCTTGCCTCATTAACTGGATTACCCAATTCATAAGGGGACAAGTCTCTCAGGTCAAAGTAATGGTCATACGTCACCAATATGAACCCCTAGCTACAACAAACCTCTAAGATTAGAGGTCATCCACAAAAAAAGGGGGGAATGAAGAGACCAAGAAAGCTCATTCCATCTGCTGCTTCCCCTCCCCTTCTCCCTTCAAATCCAACTAGGTTAAGTTTTAACTTCCTAAAGGCCATAAAACAAAGGCCTGAGGTAATAGCTCCTGACATCCTGGGTCTTCCCTATCCAGAAGCCCCATCACAAATTGTGTTAATTACATCAGATTGTATTAGATTGTACATTCTTCACAAAAATAGCTTCGTTTATATCATAGTAATACCTGTAACTTGGTATTGTATCACAGTAATACCTGTAACTGTAAATGTGTGTCTTCCTTTTCCCCTGGATAAAAGATTGATATGTTAATCAATGCTCTCTTCTGTAAAGAATTGTAAAATCTTACCTAATTGATATGCTAACCATTGTTGCCCTCTACAAATAGAACAGTTGTGGTGCTAAAGTATGTGCAGCTCCACCCCCACAGGAACCAGTGTTCTTAAACAGTTAAGACAAACAGCCTTAACCTAAGGCAGATCTCTCAGTCATGAGACAAACGCCCATTCCTAAGAAATGCCACCCCTTCTAGGGAGACACTAAAAAACCCAATCCCTTAAGGACAGCTCACCATCAGCTCTGCTCTAACCGCTATGATTGGCTTCTGTAACAATGCTTGCTTGCTTTGCTGTTTTAGGCCTTAAAAGGCACAGCCCTGCTCCAGTAAGGGGTTCTCCGTTTCCACCTGTTTGGAGGACCCCGTGTACACGGAATAATAAAAACCCCTTTCTTTTTTACATGAGAGCGAGGCCCTTGGAGTCTTCTTTGCGACACCGGTCTAACAGCAGGACGGACTTGCTTCTGCTCTCCCAGGAGCTCCAGGCTCTGCCTTCAGCATGGATGTCAGGTCCTGACTCCAGCACAGACTCTTCAGCCCCTACCTCAGCTCCTTCACCTTCCAGCAGAGACCCTTCAGCATCCCCTTGCAGACTCATCGGCCTCCTGCTACAGACTCTCACAGGACACTGCAGGGATCTCCAGACTTTGGACTGAAATCTTCAGTCTCCAGTGTGCAGACACCCTCTGCATGCTTCCTCAACCAACTGCAGCTGAAGATCATAAGCCAATGTCCAAAAGAAACAGAAAACAGAAAGTGGACATTATTAGAAGCCCCCACAACTGGCATTTCCTGCTGGAGCCAAGGATTTTATAACTGAGAAATTGTTTTCTGTGCTTTTTTCTAGTGGAAATATCATTGTTTGTTGACAGGAAAGCTTAGGACTCTTCAAACACCATGGCTTCTTTTTTTTTTTTTTTTTTTTAACACCATGGCTTCTAAGGAGACTCTCTGTGGGGTGACAAATACTTAGGCCTTCCACAAAAAAACAGGAAGTGCCCAACCCTGAAGGCACTAAAACAGAAGGGCCCAAGACAACTGGAACAAAAGGCACGAAGCTTGTCTTGTTACACAAGTCTGATGAGTCATTTATGCTGAGCAGAAAGTGATGTTCAGCACCTACAGTTATCAGTTATTTATTTTTTCATTTCATGAGTGTAACTTTGAAATGCATAAAAAGCACATAACTGTTTAAAAACTGCAGCCAGACTCTTATTCAAATAGGGCAGTGGTAAATTAAACAGAAAAATTAGGACTTGTTCAGTATATTGATGTTCATATCAAAGACAACAACTGGTTGTCTCACAAGACAAACTAAAAACCAAATGCCTGGCATGTATGGTGCCCTGTGCCTATAATGCCAGCATTCCGGAGGCCTAGGCAGGAGAATTTCCAAGAATTCCAGCTGCAGACATCAAAACCAGCCAGGGGCTGGGGATTTAGCTCAGTGGCATAAGAGCCTGCTTTGCAAGCAGGCAGTCCTGGGTTAGATTCCGGTACCCATAAAAGGTTAAAAGACAAAAACAAAACAAAACAAAACAAAACAAAAACAGCCCCTGAAATTCTTGGCAAGTAACTACACCCGGCCGCACAAATCTAAACCCGTCCCGCGCTGAATCCCAGGGCTTTTAAAACAGCCAGGGAGCACAACTTTCCTGTTCCGCCCACTTAGAGTTGAGCGCAGCGGCGAGCGGGATTCCGGGGAAGCTCTTACATCAGCTGCTCCCGCGGTCTCGTGGCGCGCAGAAGGATGGTGTTTGAGGCGCTTGCAGGAGCAGCATGGAAACTGGCCCGAGGTACAGCAGGGGAGCGGGGAGAGGGCGGCGGGGAGAGGGCGGCGGGCTGGTGCTCCCCTCCGCCGCCACCGAGCCGCTGGACGTGGGCGACCGCGCCGACCTTCAGGTCCGCGCCCAGGAACACGCGGAACCGTGCGGCGCTGGGGGAGCCGGCGGAGAGGACCCGCGGAAGCCCGGAGTCCCCAACCCCGGGGTCCCCGGGTGCTCTGCAACATCACCTTCCGGGAGGCCCGGGCGGAGTATCCGCAGGTGGCCCCGGAGGTGCCAGCGCCGCTTTGAGGGCTCCACCTCGCGACCCCTCTGCCTTCCCAGTGCCCACAGGACGCGGGAACCCGGCCGCGATCCTCTGCTTCTTCCTCGCGGTCCTGGTCTTGCTGCTGCAGCTGGCAGAACCTCTCCCTGTGGCCAGTGCTGGTGAGTCCCCGCGCGCTGCCCCGCGTCCCTGCTGGGCTCCTTTCCGGGACCAGGTCACTTCAGCCTGGCTCCCCACCACACTCCGGGGCCGCAGGAGGGGTGGAAATCACAGAAGCAGGGGATGGAGGGGTTGCAGGGCAAAGCCTAAGAGGAGGCTGTCGGTGGGGTGACCCGCGGGCCACTAGCAAGAGACCTAAACTCCTGGAAAGTGCAGCCTCTATTCCGGGATGGGAAGCTAACCCAGAAGGCTTCAGGGAGCCCAGGCCACCTCCTGTCTGTGACAGACTCTCTCCATCCATAGTTTTCCACAATCTTTGCCAGCAGATCACAGGCCAGGCGCCCCACGGAATCACCAGCCCAGTCCACCACCCACTTCCCTCCTGAGTCACCCACTGCCCCAGTGACCCCTGCCCACCGTGCCCAGGCTCCAGGTACCTCAGGTCTCCCTCTGCCTGAGGACACAGTCCAGCAACACATCCCTTCTCCCAGACAGGATCTAAAGTGTTGAGACCAGAGCAGCTCTTGTGGTTTCCCTAGGGAAGGCCAAAGGGGACTACAAAATACAGAGAGGAAGGCTGAGGTCAGGTGGAGCCCTAACTCTGGATAGGAGGAAAGGAACTGCCCCCTCAGGGTAGGAGACTTTATTTACACATTTAGCAACTTAATGTTATGTGACACCCCATTGTCCTAGCAACTGGGTATAAAGATTGTCTTGGAGCTAGGTGTTTACAGGGCTAAAGCAGATTCTTTACATGGCTTAGTCCCCCAACAGCCATGCCCCAGCCAGCCCTGCATCTGTGCTCAATGTCCAGCCTTTAGGAGGACACTGGCACGGGTGTAGGCAGGGGCATCTAGAGACTTCTTTTTTTTTTTCCCCCTCTTTTTATAGGTACTGGGGATCTAAACTCAGGACCACATGCTTGCAAGGCAAGTGCTTATGCCTCTGAGCTAAATCCCCAGCCCCAGACTTCTGCCTTTGAGCCCAGACCCCTGGCCTTCCTTTTGGGAGGAGAGCACTGGAAGAGGGTTATTAATTAGACAGGAATCCACCACTTTTCTCTCAAGTCTTTTCAGCTTTGCAGGCCACACAGCTCTCTCTGAGCCCCACCTTAGTGTGAAGCAACAGAGGGCAAGCCAGTGAACTCGAACCAGACTTGACCACTTCCTGGGTTTATCTTACTGATAAATCACTTATACTAATTTTTTACTCTCTCTTGTAGTCATCTCTGTCTCACTATGCTGATGTTGGTTTGGTTTTTTTGTTGTTGTTGTTGTTGTTGTTGTTCACTCACCATTTTTTGTCTACTTGACATACAAGAGTCCTCCTCACTTCCTATGAAGAAGAGTGCACAGGACATTTTTCTGGTGTTCATGTTACATTCACTCTGAGCTTACTGATCTTTCCTCTGATGCATTTCCTGGATGTTCTAGTTTTCTTTTTCTAATTTTTATTTTTATTACATTCAGCATGGGGAATAGCTGATAGTACATAACATGTTTTATTGTTTCTGTGTCATGCAACATAGGTTACATCTTCCCAAGCTAAGAGAACCCACTCTCCTACCACAATGATGCCCCCTCCCACCAGTCAATGGAAACCCCATGAACCATAATCATAAACTGAAGCTCTGTGTCACTCCTGACTCCCACTCTCACCCCAAAATTCAGATCAGCTCCACGTAATCCCCATCTCCCTGAAGCCCACCTGGGTTGCTTCTGAAGCCCCTCTGCCATCCTGGTCTTTCTTCCAACCAGGTCAAGTGGTCATGAATGGGAGTATCAGTCCCATGGGCACAGGGAATGCAAACCTTCTTCTGGGACATGCAGCTGCCACCAGGGAATGTCCTTTCCTCCTCAAGCAAGGAAACAATGCCAGCTTTCTATTGGTGGAGGACAGCACAGTGTGGGAAGGAGCAGTGGTCCTTCTGCCAGCTCAGCCCTTCAGAGAGACTCTCTTCCCCTCACAGATATTATTAGATGACAGATGGGTGCATTCCTTGCTCACCTCTAATCTTTCCTTATGCTTTTCCCTAACAGGCACTCACTCTCTTTTCTATGAATTCATCATCAATCCTAAGCCCCTGCCTGGACAGCAAGAGTGCAAAATCCAAGGTCAGCTGGATCAGAAGATCTTTCTTTCCTATGACTATGTTGGTGCCAAGGCCATATCAATGGGTGTCCTTGGAGGGAAGCTAAATAGTACCAAGTCCTGGAATTACCAGTTAGAAACACTGCAGGATGTGGCCACAGAGTTCAAACAGCAAGTGTGGGACATTAAACTAGAGGACTGTGCATCCACAGGTAAGTTGGAATACTCCAAGACAATGAGAGAGGTGCTAGGGCTTTGGGGATATTTACCATATTCCTGGGGTAAAGAAAACAACTGAATGTTGTTCTCATCAAGGTTGGATGTGGAGGAAGAACACGGGTAGATTAGTAGATCACATGAGGTGGGCATTGGGTGGGGGCCAAGGATTTCTCAAGAAGGGAGATTAATCTCTTTCCCTGGGGCAGATCCCCATTTCTTCATGGCCAGGATGACCTGTCTTCAGAAAGCTGATGGAAACATCGTCGGGTTCTGGGACTTTGGATGCAATGGAAAAGTTTTTCTCCATTTTCACTCAAACAATAAAACATGGGAAGACCTCCTTACTGGATCCAGGTGCATGAAGAAGTTGAAGAATGTGGAGCTGAGTGAGTTGTTATACAGGACATCACTGTACGACTGTGGAAGTTGGTTAAAGGAATACCTGGAGCCTTCAGAGGAAAATCTCCAGACCACAGGTAACTGGGAAGAAGAGGAGGAAGGGGTTGCTCCCTTCAGATAAGATGCTCCCTTGTGCCTATGTGTGTCTGCGTGTGTTCCTGTGTGTGTGTGCCTGTGTGTGTGTAAACTTTTCATCTAGAATGATCAGGAATGATTTCTCCCTGGGAAATGGTGCCATGTGTATTCTTCCCATCTTTTCCCTTCTCATCTCCTAACGTCGCCTGCGCACTGCACATAGCTTTGATGCATTCACCATGGGTTTCTTGCTGACGTCTACACTGAGGACACCATTCTCACGCCAGGCTTCCCTTGGCATCATTCTTCTCTCACCTCACCTGGCCTCTTTCTCTTTCAAAACCACCTCACAGGTCAGCTCCTGAGACCATTCCCTACCACTCTGATCAGGGACCACTTCCTCTTCTGTCACCAGTTAGGATGGGTTACATTGTGACCCTGGCTGCTTGCCTAAATATGTCACTAACCCCAAGGACTTCCTTCTCTTTCTTTACCCAGCTCAGGACCTGTCACAGTGGCTGCCATATAGCACAGGGGTAGAAGCTGTCTGCATGGCTGGGTGGGCTGAGGTAGCTGGAGCTGAGGGGGCATCTCCTCAGATGTGGGGTCCTGACAAAGGCTGATTCTCTCCTGTTTCCATCCCAGCACCACCCACCACTGGGGCTGCAACTCCACCCACTTCAAAGGCCACCAGGCTGAGCCACAGGGCCCTGCTGCTGATCCTACCCTGCTCATTGATTCTTTTGAATGTTGTCTGATTGTATAAAGAATTCAATTGTTTTAGTCTGTCTTTCAACATTATCCTCTGACAGTCAAATAATGACATTCATTGTGAAACAAACACCTTAATTAGTCTGGGATTTTGTTTTATGCTTGATGTGGTACATAATTTTATGTGTCTCCCTGAATGCCTGATAAGTGACAAAACATCATTTCTAATGTGTTTGGAAGAGAGTTCTTGGAAGACACTCTCATTCAAATGACCAGACTGAAAGACAGCACTGCAGTACATCAAGAGACCACAGTGCCTTCCTGGGAAGCAGCACAAGCTGCAGCTGTGCCAAGGGGAGACTAAGTCAGTGTCTCCAGTGAGCATGCTGAGAACCAAAAGTCTGTTGTACACCCCCCACTCCCTGCTGGCAAGTGGATAGTTTTGATGACAGCGTGAGTTGATAGCAACAAAGGTACATAAACCAACTAAATGCTTGTACTGCTGATTAGGTTGATTATGCTAACCTGGGGCCAGAGGTCTGAGCATCTCTTGGAAGGATGATATTATGCAATATAGCAAATGTGGGGAATCTGCTGTCGTGGCTTTGAAGGCCAGTATTGTTTTCACTCTTTTGCTTTGTTCTGATTAATTGTTTTGCTCTAGTCAATATTCTGCTTTGATTGCTTTCATTGTGTTCTTTCCATGGTTTGGTTTTACTATACCTGACTGAATGGACAACTATTGTGAAGATAACAAGATTTGCTATGGGAGCTGTTCTTGCTAACCTGGTATCCTGCTCTGAAGTTCTGTACTAATTTCACTGCATTGTCTTGATTGGTTTTGTTCTCTCTTGTTTTGTTATAATTAACTACCTTCAAAATAAGATGAAAAAAAAAAAGAAAGAAGCTGGGGACAAAATCCATCTTGCAAAGATGCATCCCCAATCATTCACTTCCTCCAGCTAGGCTCCACCTCTCTCCCCATCATAGGTACATTTCACACATGTCTTGCCAGTTTGCACTCTGGCAGGAATATTTCCCCCAAGATCTGAGGATGGAACATCTCCATGGCAAAGAATGCTGGGCTCAGCATCACTTCAGCAAAAAATCTGGAAAAATAACATGCACTTAAGCTCTTTGCATTATAATATCATAGTTGTAATCAATGTATTTCCTGTGAGAATAAACTACAGGACAGTCATCTGGAAAAATGGGCCCAGGCTCCTATTTTGCAATGTTGGTAAAGTTAGGAGGCCAATATAAAGAGGTATGTGGGATGGAACCAGTCGTGAAATCCGAACTGGAGATGACACCTGCATAATATTTGACTAGTTGAGTGAGTTCCCAGGTTTTATGGGTGTAAAGCACTGAGGACTTGAGACACCTACTGTAAATGCTCCTTTCATGTTCAGCATCATAATCATCAGTCCGTCCTCATGAAACACTCAGTAACTCTCCTAAATGAAGGAAAACACTTGAAAGGGGAGGGAAATAAAAGAGCCTTGCCATCCTCACAGAGATCTCCTTACCATGTACCAGTGTGCCACTTTCAGCTCTAGATCCGTGCTTCCCTAGCCCCAGCAATGAACACTGTTCCTCCTGACCAGTGCTTTGTCAGCAGAGAAGACCACCAGCCAGCCATGGGGGAATGTGGGAATATGCTCCCCAAGTCTTGCCTCACAAACACATTACCTCCTGCACTTTTCTTCCCTGGAAGGGATTTTATTCCTGACACCTCACCACATAGAGTTTCCTAGATTCTACAAAGAGCTACTGACCTCTTAGCTGCAGCTGAGGGGCATTTCTTCAGATGTGGGGTCCAGACAAATGCTGATTCTCTCCTGTTTCCATTCCAGTACCCACCCATCACCTCAGCAGGATTTGAATCCACTAAATGGCCACACTGCTGAGCTGCTGATTATCTTCTCATGTATGATTTTTCTCTTTTTTAAAAAAATTAAATTATGTGAAAAAATGTTTAAGGCTGGGGATTAGCTCAGCAACATAAGTGTTTGCCTGGCAAGTACAAGGTCCTGAGTTTCATCTACTGTAAAAGAAAAAAGAAAACATGTTTTCAATCATTGGTCATTGGAGAAATTCAAGTTGAAACAACACTGAGGTTGCATCTCAACCCAGAAAGAATGCCCAGGATTAAGAAACAACCAATAACAAATGCTGGAGAGGCTGTGGAGAAAAGAATTCTGCACTGCTGGTGGCAGTGTGGACTGGTACAGCCACTGTGGAAATCAGTGTGGAGATTCCTCACAAAGCTGGGATTGGAAGTCCCATTTGTTCCAGCTATCCCACTTCTGGATATATTTCCAGAAGAACTGAAAACATCATATAACAGTGGTATATGCGCACCCATTTTATAGCAGCACAATTTGTAATAGCCAAATCTTGGAAACAACCCAAATGCTCATCAACCGAAGAATGGATAAAAAGGATGTGGTATTTTTATGTAATAGAGTACTACCCAGCTCTAAAGAAGGATCACATTGAGGCTTTTATAGGGGAATGGATAGGACTTCAGATTATACTTATTAGTAAAATAAATCAACTCATATATGTAAATACCATGCTGTCTCCATGATGTAAGAAACTGAAAGAATGAATAAGATCCAAAATCTTCTCTAAATATTGTGAAAGGATAAGAAACTGCTCAAAGGGGAAAAATAACTGGGACAGTGAAAAGGAGGAAAGAAGGAAGAGAAAAGAAAAATGATGTCAATTTCTATATAAACCCTTAACTAAGATGATTGTATTATTCTATTGGTTCTAGGAACAAAACAGTTAACATTCATAGCATTAGATCAATTTTGCATGAGTATATCTGGGAATCTGAGTAACATTTTGAAGACAGCGGTGCAAAATAACAACCTTTGTTAAGTTCCTACCACCTCATTTTCAAAGCCTATATTGTTAGTGCTGGGTTTTTTATTATCGTTGTTTGTCTCTTTGGTTTCTTGTTTTTCATGTATTTTATTTTGTTTTGTTTTTCCCCTTTAAAACAAAAAAGAAATTATTTTTATTGTCTTTTCCAATAACTTAGTCTCTTCTGACATTTAAATAAAGATCTTTATTTTGAAACAAATATCCTAGTTAGTCTGGAATTGTATTTTATGATTTGTGTGGTGCATGATTTAATGTGTCTACCTGACGACCTGATAGGTGAAAAGACAGTATTTCTAAGTATGTTTAGGAAAAGTTTCCTGGAAGATCTCATTCAAATTACCAGACTGAAAGAATGCTCTCCATAGTGCAGAGAAATCAATATGCACAGAGAAACCACAAGAAAAGTAGAGCAAAGGGAATTCATTCTGCTTGAGCACACACATGCATTTGCATTCCTCCCCTTGACTTTGCCATGGTTTATGTCAGTGCCCCCACCCCAGATCTCATGATATCATGGACACAGCTGAATAAAGCCTGTGTGATTGGTTCCTTGCCCAGCACTCCATTTCGTGGTGTGAGCACTACACCTGCTCAGGCGTGGAGCCAACATAGTTTAATGGGGGGAGAAGACATGTCTTCTCTCTCGCCACTTCCTGTTTGCTGTTTTCCATGGCCCAAAATAACACCCTGCCAATTGTAGCCACCTGAATATGGGCTGGAACCTCGAAAATTGAAGAAATAAACCTTTCCTTCCCTAACTTTGGGCCTCAGGTATTTTGTCTCAACAATGAGAAGAAAAATAACCAAGACAGACTTTGAATGCTCTCTACCCACGGCTACCTAACTCAGACCACAACTTACAACCTTGCCCCCTATTCTCAAGATTTTGCCCGCAGACAGGATTATACCACTGGCTTTCTTGGTTCCTAAGCCTGTAGACAACATATTGGAAGATTCCTGTTCTGGCTATAAGATGAAATCAGTGTGAGAATTGAACTTTTTCCTTCACAGGAAGAGGCAGAGTGTGGACCAGGTGGAGGCTTGAGAGATGTTGAAAGAAACAGGGAGGGTGAAACAGTCAAAGGGAGGTGAAGAGCCTGGAGACAAAAAACACCCTCCAGAGATACACCCCATTCATTCATTTCTACCACCTGGGCTGCACCTCTCTTCCTATCATACATGTATTTCGTACAAGTCTTGCCAGCCTGCACTCTGCGGGGAGGGTTGCCCCAGAAACTGAGGAGGGAACAGCTCCATGGAAAAAAACCCAGGGTTCCACATCTCTTGAAGAAAGGTCTAAAAAATAAAATGCAGATGTGTTTTCCATCTTATCATCATACTTCCTATGAATGCCTAGGAATGCATTCCTCTGAGGATAAACTATCAGGACTCTCACCTGGAAAAATGGGCTCAGGTTTCTATTTTATACTGTGGGGCAAGTTAGATGCAGTTAGAAACAGGTGCGTGTGGGCGAACCAGTCAAGGAATATCAGCAGGAAATGACAGCTGGGTAACACTTGAATACTCTGAGTTACCAGGTTTAATGGGTGTAAAGCCATGAGGAATGTGTGTTACCTACTGTAAGTGCTCAGTACATGTTTACCATCACAATCTTTGAAGCATCCTCATGAAACACTCAGTGATTTCCCTAAATGAAGGGAAAAACTTGATGGGGGAGGGGAAAACCCAGAGCCCTGCTGTGCTCACAGAGATCACTTACCATGTACCAGTGTGCTACTCTCAGCTCTAGACCTGCCCTTCCCTGGCCTATCAATGAGGCTGCTCTTTCTTGTGAACACTTTCGTCCTGGCCAGCGCTTTGTCAGCAGAAATGACTACCAGCCAGCCATGGGGGAAGGTGGGAACATGCTCCCCAAGTCTTGCCTCACAAACACGCTACTTCCTGCACTTTTAGACCCTATTAAGGATTTTTATTCCTGATATCTTGCCATGAGGAGTTTCCTAGATTCTACAAACAGTTACTGAGCTCTTCCTACTGAGGTCAGCTGATAAAGGACCTTAGTGACCTTTGTTTCCCACCTAGCGGCCCAGGCTGTCATCTCTCCTAGAAAGACTGATCCCAATGCCTGAGCATGGGGCTCTTCCAGACTTACTCCTCCTGAATATTCTCCCTCAACCTTGGAGACAGAGTCTGTTCCCCTTATAGGCTACCTACCAATTCCTAGAGCTCTCCTGTCCTCTCAGCATGTACTCACTAGTGTGTAGTTAATCATCTTCATATTCACTGCTACTTCTTCACATTACTATGTGGCTTGAGTCTCCTGAATGAAACTTTGTTAACATCCCCTCCAGATCACCATCCTGTGTGACCTTGGTTTGGCCAGTTAGTAACTTCCTGTTGAATGCCCATTGCTGATCCAGACTTCACCATCTTCTCTCAAGCTGTGTCAGCAGAAATTATCTCATATTCTCAGATAAGTCTAACATCACAAACATGAGATCATCCAATCAGGTAAAAATTATTTTCTCTGGGACCAGGGATGCAGCTCAGCTGTACAGCACCTGCCTGGCAAGTGAAAGCCCTGAGTTTGATTTCCAATAAGAAAAAATTCCTCTGCATATATAACAGAAATAGTTCATTCTGGGGCCTGATAAATGTCTGCCTTGGAAATTTCTTAACTGATCATGAAAAACTGATTCAAGCACCTTTCCAGGATTCATATCAAGACAACTGCGTTCATCTCTACAAACCCCTCTAATAGGAGCAGCTTTCTCCATGAGTGGGACAATTGCCAATATTTGCAATTTTTCTTGCCACTGCTGGGTAGGGCTGTGCTGTCATGTCAGTTGGGTCCTGTTTTCAGCCCCAAATAGTCTACAATGTACAAGACAAGCACCCGAAACAAAAAACCATTTGCCCCAAATGCTGCTAAACAAGTTTTGGGAATTTGGACCAGCTGGTGCCTGTGTCCATCCTTTGAACACTTTGCCTCACTCCAGAACACACTGTCCATACACATAACAGGACACTGACAGTGGTTCAGATTTTTGGGCCACACATGTATCACACCTTGCAACAGGATCCAATTGCACCAGGACGCTGGAATCAGTGAGGGCACTTCTTACCCTCATCTTTCTGCGTTGGACAGCCACATCCTTATTACTGGGTTAATGTCACACTTTAAGGCTCCGATTCACCCCTCATGGGGAAAGTTACAATTCTTTTCTGTAACGCATCACAGTTTAATTCTTACTCACAAAAAGAATGTACTGCAAATTCATCAGCGTTGGAGGGCATAATCCTAGCAAAAAATATCTTCATGATCAGGCTTGAATCCATTCTGAAGGCAGTGGATTGCTTTTAGGTCACAGTGGTGGGAGGGAGGGGAAGGAGGAGAGAGAAAGAGCAGGAGACAGAGATACACAGAGAGAGAGAGAGAGAGAGAGAGAGAGAGAGAGAGAGACAGCGACAGAGAGACAGAGACAGAGACAGAGAGAGAGAGAATCCTGCAATACCGTTAAGTATCTTTAAATACTCCAGATTTGGAAATGAGACTTCACTTTTGTTTCCAATCCCTCTGTTAGAACCAGTCCAATGGCGATGCCTGACTACAGGGCTCTGAGAAGTAGGAGGGATCAGACATACTTGATGAACCTCAAACATCTTTGCCATAGCCTAGGAATAAGATGTTAAGTACCCAGCTGGGTACTGGTGCACTCCTGTAATCCCAGCACTCCAGAGCCTGAAGCAGGAGCATCCTGGGAGCAGAACCTGGGTGTTCAGTGCTCCTGCCAGCAGTGCTGAGGCCACTGGGCCCTCCCGCGGGCTGTGAAGAGGCACCAGGGCATTCAGAGCTCCTGTGAGTCTTGCGCTGGGTTCTTCTGAATCCACGGAGAGCAACTCTTGGTTTACAGAAGCTGTGCAGACAAAACTGCGCAAGGTCAGACAGAGCTGCGCCCCGAGGAGCAGGGAGAGGGCGGCTGGAGAGGCGGGCGGGTGCCTTCCTGTGCTGCCACCGAACTGCTGGACAAGGGCGACCACGCCGACAGCCAGGTATGCACCCAGGAACCCTGGAACGGTGCAGGGCTGGGGGAGCTCGCGGAGAGGACCCCGGAAGCCCTGAGTCCCCAACCCGGAGTCCCTGGATCCTCTGCAACTTTGGGGAGGCTCAGGGAGAGTATCCGCAGGTGGCACCGCGGGTCCCAACCTTGCTTTGAGGGCTCTGCCTCGTGACCCCTCTGCCTTCCCTGTGCCCACAGAACCCATGGACCCAGCCATGAAGTCCGATTTCCTCCTGGAGGTCCTGGCCGCGAAACTGTACTCTACAGGCTGTAAAACAGTGAAGTTTTCAAAACTAGAGTTGGGGTGCAGGTTCAAAGACAAAAGCACACAAAAAAGAAAGCAAATAGTGGGGGCGACCAGTGCCCTCACAACACACACTGAGCTATGTCTATACACAGGCCTTTCCTTCAAAGGCTTGTTTAAGTTGCCCAGGCTGGGCCCCAATCTGCAGTGCTCCAGGCTTGGCCTCGTCATGTGCACCCCCATAGCAAACTAACACCAAAAATGTAAATAGAGTACTAAACATTTTGCAATAATTTATGAACCAAGCACATACTATTCTAGAGGCTTAGCTATCAACACACAATAAACCAGTTTCAACTGAAGGCATTATCTATATACATATAAATGTATACATATATGTGAAACATTCTTTACATGCTTTAGCTAGTTCTGTGGTTAGATATAATAGTGAAATTTAGATGACAAGATTAGGGAACTACAAATTGAAGTTTATATAATAAGCATAGATGTTTAAAAAAGTATAATCAGTGTATAATCAGTGATTATAATGAGTACTGCTAGATAACTCAAACTTAACAGGATAAAGGGTACAAAAACTTTTCAGAATCTTTATTAATGTCAAAATACTGGAATTTGCTTGAAATGATTCCACTCCTAGGGGAAAGAAAAAGAATTATGATGTGTTATGTACATGTACCAACTCTCCTCGTTATGAATATAATCATTGTATACTTGAATAACATACTAGTGAAATAGAACCATTTAAAAATAAATAAGATTCCCTTCTAAAGGGTATCAAAGTGTATTCATGTAACATTCTAATACTAAGTATTAAGTATTATTGAGTGCATAGTGCTTAACTACAGGTAGATATCAGGAAATTGGGGGATCACACACTTTGTCTTTGTTCACTTGA